CGCTCCCATCTGGGCCACGGGGCACCGTCCCAAAACCGAGACAATTGTAACACGGCGGTTTCTCGTGCCCAGGGCGGGGCGCGCCGGTGTTGTTGTCAGCCCTTTACCAGAAGAGATGCTCTGCCGGTCCAGGTGTATTGTCGAGCACAACACAGAGCGAGGTGGTCAGCTACAGTGTCGGTCGAGACCGACGCAGAAACACGTCCGGCGTGGTCTGAGGCTGGGGGTCTTCTCTACACAAGCACGCGGAGCAGATGGTATGTGTCCAGCGGCTGTGGAGCTCGGAGGTCTCCTCGAGCGAGAGAGAGAGAGAGCACGTCCGACGCCGATGATGGCTCTAGGTCTTCTGCCAGTCCCCCCGATCGGGTGACTTCAGCAGAACTCTCCTACTCTAAGGGCGGTGGCCCTCTAACCCTGCGTGGCGGCTCGCTATTGGCTTAAGATTCTTTAAACACAAATCGAACGCTCGTGATTGGTCGCCTACGTCACAGTCTCTCGATCGTACTGGAGTCGTCTAGAAGTGAAGTATGACGTAGTGTCACGCGCCGATCTCGTGACTGAAGGTGTCCGGCGCAACAGAGTTCCAAGAACACGTCAAAACCATTAGCGGACATTTAGCAGGCTAAAAGTGTTTCTAGATAGGTATGCGCGTGCTGAGATGTTCAGAGAGCGCCGGCTCCGGCCGCTGAGTGTCCAGGCGCCGGCCGCAGAGTGCTGGAGACGGTGAGTCACTCATGAATAACGTATGACACGTCCCAGGCCGGCCGCGGCGTCGGCTGCGCTGAGCTGAGCGCGAGCGCGGAGCGGTTGAGCGCGAGCAGGGAGCGGTAAAGACGATGAGCGTTGGAAATGCGAAAATGAAATATAGCCACCACGCAGGTATAATTAGACTACGAACTAGTTAAGCCTAAACCCCTAGAAACATAAGAAGCGATTGACGAAGGACAAACATCAATAAGCAAATAACTAGCACACACTTTACACACCTCCCCCACCCATGGCAAGAGCTTTGGCTAGGACAAAGCAGAGGCCGACGCCTGAAGGGCGAAGGACACAGCGGGGAAGTCACACGCAGAACACAAACACATCCGCGACAAGAACACAATACAGGGGCGGGAGGGCGGGAAGTGGCCGGGTGAACGCATTGAACGTCACTGAAGCACTTGTTGCGGTCCACGAAAACGGTTATCGTAGTCCATGACGTCAGTTATTTCGGCGGTGACCCGGATCGTGGGCCGTCGAGTCAACTGGTGACCCGGATTGCTGGTGCGCGGGGGCACTTCGCTTGGTAGCGCACGTCTGCGCTCGGTGCGGAACACTGAATCATACGGTGATTCGGATAGTTCCTCGGTCCATTGTGATGCAGGCTCGGCGCCGTGCATACACAAACACTTGCACTTGCACGCACACTGGGGAAAGAGGAACAAAGAGACCTCACGCCTGGCCATACGTGGCCCGTCACGGCATATCCGTTGTGGCACTAGACTGAGCGCTGAGTGATGCCGGTGCATCGTTTACAGTTACCACGTGCCGGCTCTGCTAGTGAGCCGAGCACAATGTGACACTCGTCAAGTTATAGCTGGCTCGTGATAGTCTCGAGAAGTGGAAGCTGGCAGGACCAAGGAAGGAACGGTTTGTAGCCATAAAGCGAGAGCAGTAGTGGTTAGCGCAAAAGCATAGTAACAGTCAAGGAGAGGGCCTTTAGTAATCATAGGCGTGTTTGTTATTATCAGCAGCAGCATTCATTCTCAAAAACATCCATCCACAATGCATCCGTTGTGACACCTATGGTCTCTACCACAGCGGCCGTTTATTACATCGGGCTAGAGATAGCCAAATCAATGCAAAAAAAAAATAAGTATTCGAAAGCTTCCAGTAACAATCCGATGAGTCACCTCAATCATGGTGCTACATCACGGCAAATGGCTGTTGAACGTCAACGACATTTGGATTGCTAGCTAAACTGCCAGACAATCAGTTCCAGATTGTACCTTCGTCTCTCGATTGCAGGGCACTCATAAAAAATAGACATTTGTCTCTTATATTACGCAGCTCTGGTGTACGTTCCGTCGTACACAACCCTTCGAGAGGCTCGAGACCTCAGACCTAATCGTGCAGCCTCTGTGGCAGCGGTAACGTCCATGCTCTCCACTGTCCGGTAACTGTGGCGAGATTACAGTGGGGTCACCTATTGCTGCTGAAGGGTTCTGAAAATTTGCAGTGCACCTGTCTCATACGTTTGTTGGCTTTACTCAGAAAAGCAGACCAACATCAGTTACCTTGCGCGACTTGACCACGCTCGGTCACCAATTAATATACAAGTTTCATTCCTTTCTTAGGTAAATGCCTCCCAAAAAGATTCTTGCAACATCATAAGGGCTTATCTCAACATCGTAGTCCTCTTTCAGGCGTAGTCATCAATTGCACTAATTCTGTTCGGCCCGTTTACATTTTTATTTCGTTTTGTAGGATTATTCAAGGGGCCTAAATTAGTGCTTTTCGGAGCGATTACACGAATCTGAGTTTATCAAGGTCTGGGTATTTAGGTTCCGGCTGAATGGGGGCTTGATTGACTCGTCGCTGTTGGGTTTCGTGATCCTTACGTCCAAGATAAGTGTCCCTTTCATTGATAATTGATAGTAGCTCTAGGCGTTCGGCCCGCTCACTAGGACTTAGATCGAAGAGGTCGGCTTTGTTTATTTCTGCGCGCCATAAGTCTAGTTTGTCGCCAAATGGGTTTATTCTTAATAACTCTCGGTCCTTTGCTGGCTGGCGTTGGGGAACACTGGTATTTTTCCTTGTTACCTTCACCGAGGATTTGGAGGATTCAGAACCAGGAGCATGTAGGCGGGACGAGTTGGATTGAGCCATGATTGATACAATTGAGAGCCAAAAATACAAAATCATAAAGTGAACCATTTACGTTACGCTGAATTTTTCAGTTTGCAAAAGTAAAATTAAAATCCAGTGCCACTCGGGAGATGTCGAGACGTACCTTTGATGGCGTCGCCGAAGATGGGTTGTTCACTCGTTAACTATCACTCCACTATCACTTTCACTATACGCGTCGGGCGGACTGTTTCGATTACGCGCAAGAGTCTGGTTCGGTAGCGCTGGGTGTTGAGCGCCTTTGAAGTCTCTCGATGAAGTTGTTCTCGTAGAAAAGCGTGATGAAGTTGATCTCGTAGAAGAGCGTCGGTTGACCTCTCTGATGACGTCAGTTGACCTCGTTGGAGAGCGCGAGTTGAACTCTCTTTCCTGTTAAACTTTGTCTCGATGACGAGAGACGGTCGGTTGGAGTTATCAGCGGCTTAGATCGAGCGCTGGTTGAGATGGCTGCCGTATAACTCGGGCAGATTGGGGCCTGACTGGTACAGTTCGATTTCAGAGCCCTTTATGACTGGTACTGGTACAGGTACTTGTACCTTGAGCTGGCTGAGCTGGCACTGATGGAGATAAACGGTGCCGAGCTTTGGCGTACTCACTTTTGGAGCGCTATTGTTCAGCGGCTCACTGTGAAGTATCGGCAGATGTAGTGGCCGTGAGAGCTGGCTGGTAGCAGCTGGAGCGCAGCAGCGTTGTATAGGTGCTCGTCAGCGGCAGAGTTCGTCAGCGGCAGAGTTCGGACTGAAGAGTCGGCGCACGAAGAAGAAGATGGAAGTGAGAAGACGGCTTCTTCGGCAGGTTCGATCCGGGTCACGGCACCAATGTAACACGGCGGTTTCTCGTGCCCAGGGCGGGGCGCGCCGGTGTTGTTGTCAGCCCTTTACCAGAAGAGATGCTCTGCCGGTCCAGGTGTATTGTCGAGCACAACACAGAGCGAGGTGGTCAGCTACAGTGTCGGTCGAGACCGACGCAGAAACACGTCCGGCGTGGTCTGAGGCTGGGGGTCTTCTCTACACAAGCACGCGGAGCAGATGGTATGTGTCCAGCGGCTGTGGAGCTCGGAGGTCTCCTCGAGCGAGAGAGAGAGAGAGCACGTCCGACGCCGATGATGGCTCTAGGTCTTCTGCCAGTCCCCCCGATCGGGTGACTTCAGCAGAACTCTCCTACTCTAAGGGCGGTGGCCCTCTAACCCTGCGTGGCGGCTCGCTATTGGCTTAAGATTCTTTAAACACAAATCGAACGCTCGTGATTGGTCGCCTACGTCACAGTCTCTCGATCGTACTGGAGTCGTCTAGAAGTGAAGTATGACGTAGTGTCACGCGCCGATCTCGTGACTGAAGGTGTCCGGCGCAACAGAGTTCCAAGAACACGTCAAAACCATTAGCGGACATTTAGCAGGCTAAAAGTGTTTCTAGATAGGTATGCGCGTGCTGAGATGTTCAGAGAGCGCCGGCTCCGGCCGCTGAGTGTCCAGGCGCCGGCCGCAGAGTGCTGGAGACGGTGAGTCACTCATGAATAACGTATGACACGTCCCAGGCCGGCCGCGGCGTCGGCTGCGCTGAGCTGAGCGCGAGCGCGGAGCGGTTGAGCGCGAGCAGGGAGCGGTAAAGACGATGAGCGTTGGAAATGCGAAAATGAAATATAGCCACCACGCAGGTATAATTAGACTACGAACTAGTTAAGCCTAAACCCCTAGAAACATAAGAAGCGATTGACGAAGGACAAACATCAATAAGCAAATAACTAGCACACACTTTACACAATCCGTTAGATTCATAATGCATTCCATCCGAGCATCCCAGCACATGTAATCCCACTGTCCAAACCACCTTGCCCGGTCTGCTGATCTTTCCATCCCCCCTCCTCCCCCAGCAACCGCCCTGACATGCCAGACTCATTCGTCGCACAATCACTATCGTCCGGCGCCATCCCCGGCCCTGACGCTACCGCCACTGCCCCAGGCGCTGCCGCTACCGCCCCAGCAACTGGTGACCACTCTCAGTACGCGTCGGCGGCCGGTGGCAGCGACACGGGACCGTTGGCGTCACACACGCGTCAGTGAGGGGGGAGGGTGCAACAAGGGGTGCACGCTCACGGTATGGAGGCTGGCTTACCTCCTCGCATAGTGCCAGCATACGCCGAGTGCTCTCCAGCGACTGGAAAACAGAAGGGCAGAGAGGTCAGATGGGTCTGTGAAACAGTGATGGACACGAGAGCAATCAGAGGTAAAGAGACCGGTGTTTCAAGTTCAGTTCAGTCTAATTGGGTCTCGTCCCGGGCATACGTGTTCCTTCGTGAAAGTAGGGGAGAGTGGGGTAATTTGGCCGCTTTTTTTAGAAATCGATGTAACTAAAAATCGACAACACATTTCTGCATTTTCTCAACGCTGCCAGGTGTGGCATACATTTTACTTTCCTGGACAGTAAACTTGAAATGATAGAGTAACTACTTATATTGAAATTGTGACGTATTACAAAGGTCTGCAAAGCGGCCAAATTGCCCCACTAGCAGGGTTATTTGGCCGGGGGTGTGGGGCAATTTGGCCGGTGTTAGTTTCAGGCCATGATTTTTGTTATAGGCGAGTCAGCTTCACATTCAGCAATGACGCATGTCCTACGACGCACTTGAAGCATTTTGGAGGTTGACTCAGCCGTCACAGGGGTCGAAAATAGTCAAAATAGCGGCTCTAGATGCGATGACAGTTTTTTACGAATAGCTTTTGAAGTAATCAAGCTAGGCCAAAACTAAAAGTACCATCGTAATTCTCTCGTCATTCCGCATCGAAACATGTATGTGTTGACCTCGAGAGGTCAAGGTCAAAGGTTGGCTTCAGGTCACGTTACCTCAGGTCGCTTGACCTCAAGGTTACGTGAGTTCAAGGTCATCACGTATATCATTCGATGCGCCTTGACGAGCTGAACACAATGAGACCATTTGCGCGGCTGTATCTTTTTTCTGTAAGTATTTATTAGCAAAAAAGCGTTAGGTAACCTTTGATGACGTCACATGCCCTTACAGCTGTCCAATAGGAAATATGGCATCAAGGTAGTCAAAGTTGGTCATGAATTATGTCCTTTATGGTATAATTGACCATGACAACTGTGCCGTCCCAGCATAGTGACTCTGAGCGCACCGGCCAAGTTGCCCCGCTAGTCCCGGCCAAATAACCCCACATTGCCATTCTGAAAATTTTTGTCTATAAAGTCGTCATGGCTGTACAGAACTAGATGAAATTGCTCTTGGCACCGCTGAACACCCTCAAGAATGGCGCTATAATGTTGGAATTCGTTTACAACCCAAATACTACATGTTATACAAATTTTTAAACGGAAGTAAAAGTTATCATTTTCTAACGAAATTCACGTTTTATTAATTTTGAATAAAACTAATAGGGGGAAAGTTTTGACATTTGTTCTGGAGTATGTTCTGACGATGACAAATGAATAGAGACTAAAGTTATTTCATTCACTTTTATCAGCTTTCGTACAGGTGGGGGCGGCCAATTTACACCACCGGCCAAATTACCCCACTCTCCCCTACTTTTAAAAAATAACATCAAACATTGCCGTGTATCAAGCAGTTGGTTGTTCAAGTCCAATTTAATGAAACTGCGAGGAACTATGCTCAGGTCCATATAAACCGGAGAAAAAAAAACTATAAAATTGATATCCATAAATATCGATATCTATGAACAAAAGAAGGATATCAAAAACCTGGTTATCTTTTCTATACCTACTGCTCATCATCTCTACATCCATTATGTCTGTTTGGTGGGTTTTTGGGGCCGACTGACTGCTGGTTGGTGAGGCAATCATCCAATCCAACCCCTGTAGACATTATTCCAGACAACAGGATCACGGCAGCCAGTATGCCTTCCACTGGCTGTGGTAAAACGGTAAACATTCCACCTGTCCACCGTTATCAGCGTTGGCTATTTACTGCATCACGGCACCCGCACAGGATCACGGGATTGCGCTATCACGGAATAGCGGGATCATGGTATCCCGGGATCACGGCATGACATAACTTTAACGTCCCGGACCTGCCTGCCGCGCCACCGATCGAAACCATCCCAACTCGGCGGCCATTCAGCCAGATAAGGTCGCCGAGCGCACCAGTCTAACTCTGACGTCACATCCGGCTAGACACCGCCGAGTGACGTCACCCGGCCGGGTCGGCGCTATGACGTCATACATCCGGCGCCGTGAGACGCGGTCGGATGTCGGGAGAGGTCACAGAATCGGTGACATTTTCGTCCGACAGTATCATAGGAACTCGTACGGTGCCGTGAGTCCCTTCCGTTGTGTTCTGTAGGGACTTCCGACTGCACGGATGTTCTGTTTCGTGTCGTTCTACATATGTTGTCTCGTGTCCTTCCGTTTCGTTCCATCGGGGAGCAGCGTCTGGCGCCCCAACCCGGCCGGCCACCCGTTCCATTTCGCTCCATTCCAAGTCGTTCCGTTCCGTTCTGTCGGCGTCTGACCGTCCGGATCCGGTTAATTCCGTTTCGTGTCGTTCCGTTCCGTTCCCCTGCAGGCGTCCGACCGCCCTGTCCCGGTTCGTCCGGTCTCCGTCCGAGACCCACTCCTCACAGTGCGATCAATACCGGGTGGGAGCCCGCCCAGACCGCCCGCCCGCCCGCCCGCCGCGCTCCACACATGGTAAAACGGGCTCAGAGCAGCCGTTCCACTTCCCAGAAACGGCTCCAAATTAACAGAACAGGATACGAGCTGGAGACTTGTTAGTAACCCACCAAGCCGGCGATGTATACTTTGGGATTATGGGATGATGCAAATCTTTGAGTAACAATGGGTCTATTTAAGCACACAAGCTGCGCAGTTTGGAATTTAGCTGGGAAGTGGAAAGTTACACTGTAGACAGTATGAGAAACTGAAGCTGGCGATCAGCTGCGATGTAAATGATTGATGTTACTCTTTCTTGCAGTATGAGAAAGGCTAACCAAATTTTATACTGAACTAACATGCAAATGATATATCTTACTTATTAGCATACAAACTAAACATACCTATACAAGGATACCGATTCCGTTCGGCTCTCGACGCAATGCGAGCAGCTATCAGAGTACCCAGCAATCAATCACGGCCGTTGCATTGCTAAGACCGAGTAGAAGGCAATCATTCGCGGCAGCAGATGAAAGTGCGAAGCGCCGCGAGAGACCAGCGGAGCGGGCAATATCAGCCGCCAATGACGCGTTGATCCGTACTGCCGCCGCCACTGGCGTCATCAGCAACCTAGATCAATATGACGCCCAACTACCGACCAGGAATGACGCGGGATGACGGTCTCAGCCGCCGGCTTTGTTCTTATGGAGCTACGATAGCAAAAAGCAATGACGCAAAGACTCCAAACTTAGCGTGATGAGCTGTGTGCGTATATCTGTCGTTCGAAGACCTCTGATTGAGAAGCGAAGCGCAAGGATAACGAAAAACCAAGCCATGTGGGAGGATCTAATGCGAATGTCAGTTGTATTGAGACGCACCGGGCGATTTACCGAGAACGAACTTGACGGGAACTCACAACGATAGCGTGGGAGTCGCGGGTTAAATAGCAAAGGTCAGACTGCAGTAATAATAGACGTCCACGCCGACACACACTAAAACCAATGAGGCTCTCGGCAACCCGTCGCGTCAATTCACGACAGCAAATAGGGATCGGGTGTCTTACGTAAAAGATGATGCATTGCACATGAGGCTATGAAATATACTAGACTGTGATTTCTGACGACAGCCGTGATGAGCCATCCGATCTAAAAGCCATGCGGCATAAAGGTCATTTGTGGCTCCAGGCTTATCGGGTGCCGTAAATAGATTTCATCAGCAATGGCTGAATATAAGCTTCAGTGACCTGTCGATGATGCGGAATGCTTTGCACGCAGTTTGCCCGCAGAATGGCATTACACATTGGCATTGCCAGGAATCAGTTTATTAATTCGGATATAAATTTTCCAGCATCGATATCATCAGCATACCACCAAATGTCATAAATAGCAGTACGGCACTAAAAAATCGTCCATTCTAAGAAAGCTCAAGTGCCGTTTCCATAACGCCGTCCGTTTCGTTCCAGCCCGTCTGATCTCAGCAGCAGAGCAGTTCGGAGATTATCGGCACTGCAGTCCATCGACCACATTGTCCCACGGATGTCGGCTGCAACCGGCATACGAACAGAAAAAGATCAATCAGAGCTTCAGAACAGGACTGGACGAACCAAAGAATAGGCCACCAAGTAAAGGGAACAAATGATATGCGAGCGCGCAAATGTAAAGTAGAAATAGTGTATTTAAGTGACACAAGTAGGTAGACGACACAATAAGTCTGATTATCACCCGACCAGCGAGCACCGCTTAGGTCCACGGTTACGGACGGTTCACATTGTGCATGCTGCCATGGCGGTGAGCAGCCGACAGTTACGGAACACAGGTGTTTGTGGCCGGCTTACAGACAGCGGGCACCAATAACGGAACGCGCCGGGAGAAATGGCAGGCACCCGGTTTTCCTGTCCAGCGAACGAGTTTTCCTGCTAATCCGTGTACTCTGTCCAGTGTCTAACAGACATAATCGCCCAAAGCGTGACTCAAGCGTAGGAAACGCCAGCGTTCTTACGTAGCCTCTCATATCTCAGCGAAACGCTCGCAGCGTATGTCAAATAAAATGGCCTGAAGATACGATTTCCTAGATGCTTTGAAGAACACGTCGGATGGTTTGATCTTCAAATACCCGATGGATCCAATTCCCAAATGGCGTCACTGACATTTTGATGACCTTCAAGTTTCGTATTGGTTGATGGTCCATGCCGACGACATTTCCAGTGCTGTCAGGATATATACGGTCGCCAGTAAGTCACCCTATTCTGCACACTGTTCGGTCGTGTTTCCTAGATATTTCCTAGATGTGTTTCCACGCCCATCTACACGGTTTCTTTTCCCCTCCATCGGCCCATTCGTCCGTCCCGGTCCGTCTATCTCTTGCGATCAGGGCACGGGGGAGAACCACAGGCTCCGTTCTCACAGTTCCGGCTAGCTCAGTTGGCTCTCAATTCTCAGTGTTTCAGTTCACCCAGGTAGCATTCTGTTAGCTCAGTCAGCAGCTGCCGATCAATATCATACATCTTCACCCTAAGTTTCATCTGATCCAGTCGTGGCCGTGCATAAACCATTTTGTAGCAAGTTGACTACAACTCACGTTACATCCCTTCAAAAGGTCGGCATTCATAAAGCAGCATTCCACCTAAAAACGACCCATCACCTTCACAGACCCTGACCCCACCTATTCCCACAGGGTCCCCGGTCGTCCATTTGGGTCAGTTGACGGCGCGCGGCCGGCCGCAGAGCCGTGCCAATATTCGGCCGGCCCCACCCTGCGGCCAGTGCCGCTGCTCGCTGCGACGCCCAGCATTAACGCTATTGGCGGCCCGGGAATCAATACGTCCCCATTACCGGGCCACGGGCGCAGAGCGCCGCGTTACTTATTCAGACGGCGTAACGAGCCTGGTCTGCGTGACGGAACGGGACGCGTGTGTCCGTCACGGCCGATCGTGACGCCGACTCACGGATGAGGCCCTCCTGCGGGGCGTCCGTACACCCAGCACTCTGGAAGGGGATCCTCACAGGGGTCGGGTGTGAGTATGAAGAGAGGGGTCACAGGGGGAGGGTGACAGCTGAGTGTGTCACCTCTGTATGCAGAGGTGACAGCTGAGTGACCTAAGAGCTGAGGAGATGACAAGACGTATGCCAACAAAGGGGAATAGCCGACCCTGCTGGTGAATGTTTGCCAGAGAGATGCCAACCTTCTCAGTCACAGGGGTCACAGGGAAGGCATACGATGATACCGACCATAAATTATACAGTAATTGTTTTCGAAAATTGTCTTTGATAAAACGAATAGGTACTACCGTACTACTAGAAACCTGTACCGGAAGTTTGCAGGTTATTAACGACATCACGATTTAAATTCCTGTCGCAGTTACAAAAACTGAACTACAAACATCCGGCGTTATATATCCGTGGGCGTTGACGAGGTTGGCTAGGTGAGGTATGGTCCTCCTGTGTGAGATATGGTTTGAGACTCTGTCACATTGCCGCCACCACCCGGCACCGACCTGCCGGCGGGCGGGCGGCGGGCGGGACCACGCGCGTTACTGCCACCGCCCCTCACCGCAGCCATCCATACCGGCCGCAGCTAACGACAAATGGACCCGGCAGTGTGGGGACTGGGGAGTGTGCGATCTCGGGGAAGTACAGGGATGCTGGCTGCTGTGACAGCGTAAACAGCACGACCCAAAAGCAGCTGGCGATTAGTACCTAATTTAGTGTCTGTAGGTAGTGTTTGGCAGTACTTTAAGCGTTACGTTTCTGGCACGGTTAAGACTTTCCTGGAGTGTTTATGTTCCCGAGTGGCATCTGCGAGCTGATGTCGGGTGTTTTGGGGACTCGTCGGGGCAGTCGCTGTCTGGCATTGGATTGAAGCTGTCGTCTGCAAGAATATATAGCCGAAACGGAATACTGTTGTGAAGGACCTGTGGAAGCAAGTGGGAGGACACTACAGTGTCACATGCTGGATTTGACTGCAGCTTCTGTGAAAGAAAATTGCGTTTTAGCAAGTGTACAATAAAGGGAAAGGACTTCTCTTTCTATGAGGCAAAAATGCCCTGTCCTATCACGTGAATGTAACAGGCTAGGTGGTATAAATAGAAGAGGGCGGCAGACCGGCCTGCCACAGCGAGCCGCCTGTTATTGATTACACTGTTCTCTTATTCACGCGCTGTCTTTGAAATCATAAGACTGATTCGTTTCCGCGAAACGAGACCACATTTTAACAATTCCACTTGACAAATAGCTTCAAAGTGGAACGACACCCATGTGAAATAGTTGGTAGCATAGCGCTCGTATCAGACCCTGGACTGCGTCCCATTTCAAGGACCAGCTCAGCAGTCAATGAGTCCCAGACAGAATAAAAGACGTCGCGCCACTGATATTATCTTTGACCTGAGCGAGGTCAAGGGTCATCACAATTTTGATCTTTCTAGTGACCTGAGCGTGGTCACTGCACACTCACCTCGCCCGTGACCTAGCCGAGGTCATCACCATCCCCGACCCCACCCATGACCTGAGCGGGGTCACCGTTACGTCACTCACCTCATCTGTGACCTGGTTGGCCTTTTGCTGGAGCTGCTCCAGCTCCGAGCGCGGCTGTTCAGCGTCGGCGGCCATGTCTGGTAGAGGGAGCGGCGGTCGAAGCGGTGGTAGAGGCGGCGGTCACGAGAGACACCGGCTGTGGAGGCAGAGGGGGAGAGAGTCAGAGTGAGGGAGTAGGGAGAGGGAGAATGGGGAGCATCAGACTGAGTGACGGGGAGAGTCAGACCAGGGATGAGCACTGGGAGAGTCTGACTGAGAGTCATCAGTCAGGGTTCGACTTTCGAGTCAGATTAGGAAGGGAAAGTCAGGCTAGCATAGGGGAGAGGAGAGAGAGAGAGAGAGAGAGAGAGAGAGAGAGAGAGAGAGAGAGAGAGAGAGAGAGAGAGAGAGCGAGAGCGAGAGCGAGAGCGAGAGCGAGAGCGAGAGCGAGAGCGAGAGCGAGAGCGAGAGCGAGAGCGAGAGAGAGCGAGAGCGAGAGAGCGAGAGAGCGAGAGAGCGAGAGAGAGCGAGAGAGAGAGAGAGAGAGAGAGAGAGAGAGAGAGAGAGAGAGAGAGAGAGAGAGAGAGAGAGAGAGAGAGAGAGAGAGATGCAGCTGGGCAGCCGGCAGAGTGAGTAAACTGGTCATGGGCAATTGTTGCATGGATCATATTCTAGCGCTGTTACGCAGTTACACAAGCACCAATTTCAATGGGTACAGCAACTCAAAGCTCACGCGAGATTAAAATTCTAAAACGAAACCGTTCCAAGTTTGGCCGCAAGTTTACGTTTTCGGGGTGAACTCTTCTAAAGCTTTCAGCTCTGAATGAGCACCGCTCCAGCCTTTTGATAAGTCGGTATTCGCGGAACGAACTGAGGTCCGCTGCGATTGAGAGTCAACGAACTGGCACCGACCGGGCTTCGGTGGACGCATGAGCGCGCCTGAGAGCCCGTCCGGGGCAGTGGCCAGCTGAGCCGGCTCTCCCAGCGTGCAGGGTGCGGTAACATTGGGTCAGGGACGGTGAGGAGAGGGACCGCTAGAGTTAGCTGGAGACAATCCCTGCAGCCCAAACCATGAACAATTGGAAGATGGGTCGAGTTTAGTCTACGCTGGTGCAACAGCGAACAAAAGTCAAGATTGGTGAATCGGCAACAACAGGCGACGGAGGAACAAAAAATTAAAGCGCAATCCAGACTCTGAAAAAGATGGTGCTTGAAGGTGGCTGGAAACGAAGCCCGCTAGAAGCGAGCTAGCTGTCGAAAGGAATTCTCCGGACAGCCAACACAGTCGGAGAATTGAATAAAACAAGCCACAGTCGACTCTGATTTCCCCACAGAGCTGCAGAGCTAGGCGGTGATTTTGCTCGACCCGAGTTGGCGGCCCACGGCACCCTGCAAAAACGGCGTACACCGACCCCAGCCCTGGCCAGTAGCCATCACTATGTCAGACCTGCTTGGGGCAACGCAAGAAGGGCTGAGAAAGAAGTTGGGATTCACCAGCTGTCAAGCTCCCCACAATTAGTGGAGCGAAATAAAGCGAAGGCATGGACAATGCACTGAATAATAAATGCATTAGGGCACCAACAGACTGACAGTATAGTTACATCTAATGCTTCCGCAATCCGAGGTCTGCGGCTTTGCGCTCCAATGGTTTCACACTACGAGTCATCAATCATTCTCACTTCATTCATCGTTTCTGACCAAGAAGAATATGTAAGTACCGATATCCAAAATAAAAAGAACAAGAAAGCTAAACCAACGCAGCGAACCTAATGGACGCCGTCTTTAAGATCTCAGACGCCGAGCGCCCTCCAGAACCCACCAAAGGTCACCGTTCTGACCTTCCCGTTTCAGGCAGCTCCTTGGAGAGGTCCGGGGCGTTGGGCACACAACTTGACGAACTTGCAGCCGGCTGAGAACGCTATCCGCCTCTGCGGCTGGCGGCGATGGTCTTAAACCAGACCCGTGACGCAGTCAGAGCCAGAATAACCCTCCAACGCCAACCGAGCTGGAAATCAGACCGCTTGAAGAAACCGAGGGTTCTCAACGATGGATAAAATTACTGGAGCGGCGTGTGATCTACTAATGATCTAATAAAGGCAGGGTTCGATAATATAGCTCATAAGCCAAATGGTTTGGCACGGCTACTCTTACCAAAACACATTTAAAATTGTAGCTAGTAGTAGTGACGCACCAAAAAAGATTGCTCGTACCCTCCGTTCCCTCTGTTCTATCCTCAGTGCTGCACATCCTTTTCCTCCACGTCTCAGTCCCCTGTTCCGGGCTGGACAGGCAACTTTACCCCATACGGGATTGCCCGTAAGAGCAACCCCGTAGCCGGGTGCGGTAACTGATTGGGAGGGGGGAGGGCTGGTCGGCCTGTCCTCTGGACGGGTTCAGCACCGGCGACTCACCAGGGTACTCACCCAGACCAATGTACTGGTCTGAACTGTGGCTGGTGGGTGTACTAGACTGTGTATCGCATATAGATTGACATTTGGCCGATGGTTGGGCTAGAATGAGCGCTGACCTGACCTGACTTGACCTGTTGACGGTAGGTGTTCTCGACTGTGCGCTGACCTGACCTATGGTCGATCGTTGTAGTCTAGAATATTGTGTACTGATTCGACCTCACTCGAACTGTGGCCGAAGGATGCTCTAGGCTGTGACCTACCCTGCGACCGGTGGGTATGCCGAAATGTGCCCTGTGCACTGACCTGACCCGGGGCCGACGGCAGCGCAGTGCGGCGACACTGAGCGCCCGTGTCGCGCGCGTTCACCAGCGGCAGCGGCGGCGGCGGCGGCGGCAGCCAGGTACCGCTCTGCGCTCCGACTGCCGCCGCCACCGCCACCGTCGCTGCCGCCGCCGCCCAATCAATACGGCACCCGCCGCCGCCGCCGCCGCCGCCCACCCCGAGAACAAAGAGCCGACGAACCGGCAGCGGAACAGAACGCCGGCGTCCGCAACGGCACGTGCATCAGTCGGCACTCAGAGGTCGGGTCAGGTCAGCCACGAGCGAGGTCAGAGGTCATATCGGGATGACCTAGGAAAAAACGCACAGTGGTACGAGCCATTTGGCAAGCCGTAATAAAGTTTTATCCGTTTCCAAGGCAAAACAGATACGCTATTGAAAAGAATCAAATCACACAAGCTGCGATCGGATAGCTACTTAGGTACCACTAACATCCCAAACGAAAGAAAGACATGCTTAACTGAGCAAGTCATCCAAGGGGAGCGAGCATTTGGTTTGCAATTCAAGCAGGCTTGGCAATTCCCGTAGCTACCATTGAGACCCACAGATGACAAGAATTTCCATATAAACGTCTTTAGATGGCACTATGTGAAAATGCCTACCATAAAAGCGTATGCCAGACCCTTCCAAATGACCTCTGGGAGATACAGAAGAATGCAAAAACTTCCGATTTATGTACAGATACGAATCGACCAATTTTCTTGTGAATAAATTCGGAGTTTTTCCTCAGTATCCTGTCGTGTGATGGGCAATTACCCAAGTCAGTTTCGGTTTCGTATCAATAGTCTTTTGTAGCATGTATTAACTACGCCCACCGGAACAAGAGTGCATTTGACTGAGCATTCTGAGCAATGCAAATATAACTTTCGCGACCTCCCAGTGATGCTTCCAGCACGGTTGCCCAGGCTGAGCCAACGTGGCGTTAGGAGAGGTCCGGTCTTACCGCTGCCCACTTCGGGAGCAGTCGACCGACACCTGTTCGGCGCCCATTCACCAATTCATCGGCGGCCCAGACCCTTCAGAGGATCGGCATTCGGCGGGCAGCGACACGTGCAGGGGTGCCAGCTGTGGGGCGGCGCCCGCGGCCACGGCAAATGGCACCGCCCGCGCGCCATCACAGCCACGCCCGCTCGCTCATAGAATATTGCACATGCAGGGGCTGTATTGTATCTACATCTGCGGACCCATCATGTGGCAGCGTGGCTTGTGACTGCATGGTAAAAAAAAAGAAAGTGCGTGATGAAAGTGGTAGGTAGTTACTTGGCAATGTAGGAAAAACAGCCCAAACTGCAGCCAACCGGTATCACACTGCACTGCCTGACGGCAGTCGAGTGGAGGATCCCTATTACCGCTACTCGAGTCGACAGAAAGTTACCAGGTGACATCAACAAATTGTTCAGTGACGTCCGACAGATATTACCTAGTGGCGACAGGCACAGGTCTATAGATGGTCTAAGACACAGGCGAGCTGTCTCAGTGTTCTTCTGCGTGAGAACAGAGCGCGATAACGACGTAGCTCTTGCTGCTATCACGTGACACTGCAATCGGTCACAGTCATCCGAGACTCTTTACGGCCGTAATTACGACGGGTATATGACGTCCCGACTGGAAAAAATGCACGCTTTCGTCGAGAACTCGAGCGTAGTTGGGCGTTTGCGCCGAAATTTTTCGGCGTACTTCGGCGTAAATCGACGGCTTGCGCCGAAATTTTCGGCGTACTTCGGCGTAAATCGACGGTTTTCTCTATCTCTCTATCGCAAACGGCTCCGGAGCAGTCGCGAAAAACCCGTCAGGGGGTGGCACCAACCCCCCTCGGCCGGCGAGGGTTAAATGTCTTCGGAAGTTAAACATCTTAAATATCACTTATCTTGTCTCGTGTTCGTCTCAGGGTATTTAAGTCATGTTCAGTGAACCTGATTGTGACTCTCCCACGGCGGGAACAGTTCACCGATCGAGAGTGAGGTTATGGTTTGTCGGATCCCCTAGTTCAGATAACGTATGCTATCGTTTGCGTATTGACCGTTGTGATTCCTGTATTTCCGGCGTGTGGTTTGCGAGCGGACGCTGGTAATTGGTCCCGCGTGGCCTGGTATCTGCCCGATCCCATCGGCCGTGCTTGCACCACGCCTGTTGAAGGCCCCGTCAGGCGTCAGTCACCGGCTGGGCACATACTGCTGATCAGAGCCGGGCAACAAAATAAAGGTTACGTTATGGAACATGCCAGTGAGTTTGTGAGTCAGGAGATTTTGTGATAGCGAACGCTGGTGCTCGGTCCCGCATGGCCTGCTGATGTCTATTGTCTGTCCGATCCCGTCGACCGTGCCAACAACCGTCAGTAGTCACTGGAAGACAGTCACACACACACGCCAGCTCCCCCCTCGACGAAAAGTGCGTGGCTACAGCCTGCAGCCATCAGTAAGCCTTGAAAATTTTCGGCGCATGAAGCATGGCTTGGTAAAATAATTTCGGCGCATAAGCCCTTGCGCCGAAATTTCGGCGCATCACCTCCGCCGAGAACTTCAGCGTAGTGGAGGCATTTTTTCCAGTCGGGTATGACGTGTCACATGACTTAGCGACACACAGTAGTACCTATCAGCCGACAACCCCTCGGGATCGAACGAGTCAGCAATGGCCGCAGTGCCCTTGCACTTATGAACTGCTACAGGGTCTTTCATAATGAATGCTATTTTTAAAATAGCCATAGTTCATGTGATATACATCACAAAGTTATTGTCAATACCCGAATGAAATAACAAATCATGGGAAATTCTGTACACATGACTCGCATTTAGGTACCCTTCATCGATTTTGAACTGTGTCGCCTCGCTTTCGGACACAGATTTCGGCCCGCTGACGCAAATGGTGCACCACGCGCTTCACATCCTCCGCGCACAGCATTGCAACAAACCTCTCCACTGTGACCTGCAGCTCTATGAAGGTCACTGGAAGGGTCTCTCTGCTTGGGGCCTCCAAGACAACTGCCCAAAATCAGAAGTCCATCGGCGAGAGATCGGCTCCGAGCTGGCCACGGCCGTGAGACGGCTGATCACTCGTCTGTCAAAGTTGCCATCCAACCACTGGCGCCCAGCCGCCGTTATGTCACTTCAGCGCCGTCCTACTGAAACCAGCGGCCTTGTCTTTGAAGCCCGCCAGGCACATGAGGCCAGAATTCTTCCTTGGGCACTGAGCAGCCTCAGATAAGCTGGCCCGGTCACTGATAAGCCGGAAGCGAACCAGCAGACGAAAACACGCCCGTCGACCACGGCAGCCCAAAACATGACCTTTCGTGCGTTTTGTTCATTGCAGTCAACCGTGACACTCTGGAATCTGTTCACAAGCCTGTGATCATTTTAGAGCGGACATTGTGCTTCTTTTAAAAGTGTCCCCGAATCTTACGGTGGACAGCCGTGCGCTTCAGTGAGCCGTTTACGTGAACAAAACGCTTACGTGAAAAAACAGCTGACCCGTGTTGTAGGGGGAGGCATTTCATGTCCACACAAAAGGGAAGTTTCGTGAAATGTGACAGTTTTAATTACATCAACAGAAATTCCAAAAAATTTGCAATAAAGTAAATATAAAATTTATGCTTTTATTATTTACGAACACGTTCAACTTCGCGTTTTAAAAATAACATTCATTATGAAAGACCCTGTACAACATCGGTGCGAGCGACAAATAACTCCCAGGTGCCACAGAGAAGTTGAAGCCGTGTCAAAACCTCTGATAGATAACGGCAAAGCCTAGTGTACGCCACCGACCTTGATAGTGAAGGCCGACGCCCGATCCCAGATAGAGACCGTTATCGAGATACTGAGAGAGGCAGCGGTATCTTGTTCCGCAACCCCGATATCCGGTCTCACGAGGGTCAGGCTCATTTGACCAGGAACAGGCCTGATTGGAGCTATGGATGGAGGTCGAGACCCTAAGTCAGAAATGTTGATATAAGTACAAATATGCATCTCATGTCAGATGCCTATATCATTTAATGTTGGTGTATCATGCCTGTATTGGAGAACACCAAAAATGGTGATGTTTGGAATGCGGACAGCATGACATGTATATAACTTACCAGCCTCAAGACACTGAGGTGTCATGTTGGTGCAGGCTGGTCTCAAATGGCACTAATAGCATGCTATTACAAAACCAATCCAGTACAAACACCACTAAACAGAAGCATTCCTGATCATGTTCCATTTACAGCCATTACCAGTTTTTGTTCAGGTGTTAACAGTGAAACACTTCACATGTTCATTGAAAACATAGGTTTCCATTTCTGAATTATTATGGAATAGGACCTATAAACAAAGAAATGGCAGGTGAACAAATAAACAAAATCAAATCCTTAGCCCATTTTAGCACTTTTCCAGATAAAAACTATATAACTCATAAAATGTTCATTGAAGTACCTACCCCAATTATGAAAACCCCAAGATTTATAACAGTAACTAGCTTATGTACCTACTGTTGTCAGATGTCATGCATTAGCGAATGTCATTAAGGTAGTCTGGACACACAGTTATAAACTTAGTGATGACCAGTCACACTGAACAATCTTGCCACCACCAAAGACAATCAAGCAACCACAAAACAACCCAGGTTACATAGAATAATGGAGCGAATGGGTACACAGTGCAATCATTACAACAGCACACCAGCACTGTGTGGCCACAAAGAGGCAAGGTGGGAGGGGGGGGGGCATTCATATGTTCCACAGTTCATATTTGCCACACATATGCCACAGCAGATTCTGAAGGTTGTAGGTGGCAGGTTAGTAGGTTGTAGGTTGTAGAGAGGGTGAGGTCAAGGTTAGATCATGTTTTGTTTTATATTTTACTGTATAAAGATGACTGTGATGATCGTGAAGTGTGGATTTTGTGGCATACTTTTATGATATACACCTGGCAAGGCAATGTCCATCTCTGCCAATCCGCACTCCGCAGTAGCCCAAAAACTCAAAAAATTCATGTCCTCTTCATTTCCTGCATCAACTATCTCAGTGACCTTACAACACCTCATACTATCAGTGAGGCAGACACTACAATCTGACACCAATATTTATCATTGTGAAGCTCTCACCATCTCACTTTCCGGCATTTTGATTCGGATTCGGAATGATCAGATTTCCAGCCAACACTGCTTCCAGTAAAAGTGTGGTCAGTGGTGCTCAGTGCAACTGCAACCAGCCACATGAACAAATATTTATCATAATAATCGAATTAATTTCTCCAAACACAAACCATCAGACCTTGACCTGGACTGGACCGAAACTTGAACTTTACATGAACGGCATCGAAACAATTTGACTTACTTTAGTGGAGTGAATGGCTTGTCAAGCTGCTGAAATGTGCAGCTCGTTATCCCTTTAACAGTTTCTCAGCTATCTTGAATCACCTGTAAACGCCACAGTTAAAAATCAAAATATGAGGAGACGACAACAGAGACAACACGACGCAGAGCGGGGGATTCCAGAGCTCTGTTCGCACCCCGTTTATTTATCAGCAGGCTGCGACCATGCTGCTACTTCTTGGCTCCTCATTGGTCGAATTCAAGTGGTCTATTCGCTAGACCAATGAGAGGCCAAGCCGCGCCAGCAATAACTTCCTTATATGGGGAAAACCGACAGCACGCTGATATAAAAACAGCGAGCGAACAGGGCCCAGGACAAATCTTCGTATGGCATTTCTTCGTCGCGCAATTCTTCGTCCGCATTTCTTCGTCCGCAAATCTTCGTCGGCGCATTTATTCGTGTCGCATTAATTCGTCTCGCATTTCTTCGTAAGCGCAAATATTCGTAGCGCATTTCTTCGTATCCGCATTTCTTCGTACGCGCATTTCTTCGTCAAGCATTTTTTCGTCCACGCATTTCTTCGTCTACGCAAATCTTCGTCCGCATTTCTTCGTCCACGCAAATCTTCGTCTGCGCATATCTTCGTCCGCAAATCTTCGTCCCCGCAAATCCTCGTCCGCAAATCTTCGTCTGCATTTTTTCGTCCACGCATTTCTTCGTCTACGCAAATCTTCGTCCGCATTTCTTCGTCCACGCAAATCTTCGTCCCGGCAAATCTTCGTCCGCAAATCTTCGTCCGCAAATCTTCGTCCGCAAATCTTCGTCCGCAAATCTTCGTCCGCAAATCTTCGTCCGCAAATCTTCGTCCGCATTTTTCGTCCACGCATTTCTTCGTCCACGCAAATCTTCGTCCGCAAATCTTTGTCCGCGCATATTTTCGTCCGCAAACCTTTGTCTGCGCTATCTTCGTCTCCGCAAACATTCGTCTACAAATGTGGTTCAATAAAACTATGAAGAAATATCAGACCATCAAGTGAATGACGAATTTAATGCATGGGAATGGATGATCGAAACTTTTGAAGTCAGGTAGATGAGGTCAGTCAGGTGAAGCTATTGTATTTGGGAGCCGACAATTGTAACATTCCATATCATTCTCCCGGACATTCTTTTTTTCGCGGTCGATAAATGACAATATAATCTTGTACCCTCGCCGGCATAGGCGGCGGAACGGGGAGGGCACCGGGGCACCGTTCCTCTCTTTAATTTTGGCCTTTTAACAGTAGCCCTATGGGCGTTGCATGGAAAGAATGAGACTAAAAGTCGGCAGTGCCGTGCCCCCCCCCCCCTAATTGAAGGTGTTCCGCCGCTACTGCTCGCCGGACCTATTTGTTTTCTACATACACGCCGGCCGAGGGGGGCGGGTACGACCCCCCCCCCCATCGCCGCTTTGCCACTGGTGGAGCTAGCGCGTCGCGGAATAAACGAGCGTGTGCGCCGTTACGAGACGCAGATTACCCGATACTACCCGATTTTAAGGCCTTCTAGGTCAGGGGTCGGCTTTCGGCCCGCGGGCCGGATCCGGCCAGGTGGGTGACGGCTGGATCCGGCCCGCGACCATCTGACGTCCGGCCCGCGGCTGGTATCAGCGACTTACATCGTGTTCCGGCCCGCGGTTCCTTCAGAAATCGACTCCGATATAAAAGTGACTTAAATGTGCTTTGGCACAATAGTTCTTCCTTCGCACACTTCATGAGTTTATAAACACCATTTGGTGCAGGTGTGTAAGAGTGGCTATATGAATCCATTGTGGGGTCGCCCTTTCCAGTAAGTGTCACGTAACAGCAATGGGACCAGGGACTCAACATGAACTGGACCCGGGGTGCTCGCCAAGAAGACCAATGTCTCCATCCTATCATCCTTCCGGCTCTGAAATGGTCTTGTCAGACCGAAAGGGCATAACCCAACAAAACAAACTAAATTCGCTGTCTGGCTGCGTGGTGTAGTGGTTAGCGCTTTAACCTCGCGTTCAAATGACACGGGGTTCGAATCCCATCGCCGGCTGATGCTTTTGGCGTGTTGTCCCAGTAAACATGCCGATGTCGGCGACTGGGGGGCTCGAATCCCGCCGCCGGTTGATATTTTTGGCGCGTTGTCCCAATAAACATGCCGACGTCGGCCCCGTTGGTCCAACGACAAACGATCTCGTCAACCTCGGCAAACGACCTCGGCCCGACGTCGGCTCGACGTCGGCTGGACTTCGGCTGGACGTCGGAACATGCGGGCATATCCGACGTCCAGCCGATGTCGGGCCGAGGTTGAACCGACGTTGGGCCGACGTCGGCATGTTTACTCATTACTGGGGCGGGCCGGAACACGATGTAAGTCAACGGCAAATTGTTAGCTGGGTTCGTCATTCACTTGATGGTCTGATATTTCTTCATGGTTTTATTCAACCACATTTGTGGACGAATGTTTGCGGAGACGAAGATGGCACAGTCCAGACAGATTTGCGGACGAAGATTTGCGGACGAAGATTTGCGTGGACGAAGAAATGCGTTGACGAAAAATGCGGACGAAGATTTGCGGACGAAGATTTGCGGACGAAGATTTGCGGACGAAGATTTGCGGACGAAGATTTGCGGACAAAGATTTGCGGGGACGAAGATTTGCGTGGACGAAGAAATGCGGACGAAGATTTGCGTAGACGAAGAAATGCGTGGACGAAAAAATGCGGACGAAGATTTGCGGACGAAGATTTGCGGGGACGAAGATTTGCGGACGAAGATATGCGCAGACGAAGATTTGCGTGGACGAAGAAATGCGGACGAAGATTTGCGTAGAAGAAGAAATGCGTGGACGAAAAAATGCTTGACGAAGAAATGCGCGTACGAAGAAATGCGGATACGAAAAAATGCGCTACGAATATTTGCGCTTACGAAGAAATGCGAGACGAAGTTATGCGACACGAATAAATGCGCCGACGAAGATTTGCGGACGAAGAAATGCGGACGAGGAATTGCGCGACGAAGAATTGCCATACGAAGATTTGTCCGGTTACGAGAGCGGGGGGGCGTGTGAAAGAATAGAGAATCAAGGTTACGCATATTTTACAGTTGTCACGGATCTACAGCGAGCTGAATGACATCACAAGTATTTAGTATGACGTCTTAGTACCAATGTTTCCTCTACGTCCGCCCGTCCTAAGCCCTGCCATGTATATCTATCTCTTTATCTATGTTCGCTTTTTGCACGTTGCCTTCTGCCTTTTGCAAGTCTTGGTCTGCCTGGTCTTTGTCTTGCTAAGCAGGGAGCGTAAACTGCGTAAAACTAACGATTTCTCTCGTGTCTCTGGCCTGCTATATCAGTTTTGATAACTGGTTTGTGGTCCAAAAGTGCCATGACAGAAGGTAGCACTCTGAATCATGGCAGTAGGTATCAGCTCCAGTGAAAGGTCAATAGACAATAGTCCATACAAATCAGCATCCTGTCTTGTGCAGCACGGGAAGACCACATTGTCAATGTCTGTGTGAATGTCCGTACTCTTTGAGGTTCGACCAGAAATGCATGCATCAACATTCAACATTGAGTGGTGTAAGGTAAAAGCGAAATATTTATTTCTCCTCACTGGCCTAAGACTGTCACTGGCAGTGAAAAACCAATGCAAATATCACAATCACATAATTGTCATCTCAACAACAGGCGAGTCAGCGTACGTCATAACACATGCGGTATATAAAATAGTTCACAACCTTCCAACAACGATCAGCGTGTCGGAGTCACCCTGGGCACCGAATCACTCCGACACATTGACACTATGACAGCCGAAGCTCAGAGCAGTGACATCCGCGGCGCGCCGAGGAACGACCTGGGCTGTGGGGGCGCCATCAGTCCCAGAGTGGAGGTCGCCGGTCGGCCCGCCGGCGCGCCCCGTCCCCGTCCCCGGCTCACAGCCACCGCTTTATTCCGCGCCGCCGCCGCCGCCCACGACTGGCCCGTCTTGGCTTTCTTCGCGGGCGGGGTGCCGCCGCCACCGACCGCCCCACGACGCCGTCGGCGGGGCGCTGCTTTACCTGCCGTCGGCGCCTTCTTCCCGGCTGTTCCGGCCGCCGCCGGCGCCGCTCTGGTGCTGGCCTTTGCCGTGGCCGCCGCCGCCTCCTCCCGGTCCATAGCAGCCACTTCCTCTGCGTATGGCCGGATGGCTTCCAGAAGACGAGCGCCGTGTTTGGCGAAGTTGGCCTCTGTGACGTGTGTGATCTGCAGCATCTCCTGGCGCGAGGTGGGCAGCCGGTCGGCCATCTCGTGTAGTGCCTGTACGTTGATGATGGTGGACGGTGGCACGGCGGCGGCACGCGCCAGCTGCTGGCACACCTCCGTCAGCTGCTGCAGACACAGCTCCCGCACGGCGGCGCGCCGCTCCGGGTCGCCGGAGCCGGCACCGCCCTCCGAGTCAGACCGACCGCCGCCGGTGGACGCGGTCTGCTTCCGAGACCGCGAGAACCACACCTGGGAGAAGGGGACATACAGCAGAGGGTTGTCAGACCGTGGGGGAGCATGCGAAGCAGGCTACATACTACGTAGAATATGGGCTGAAGTGAACGAGTGTGCGGTTTATGAGGACTGAACACTGAACGGTACAGCCTGTTCATCGCAGCCCGGCAGTAACAGGCGGTAGGTTGTCTGGCACCTGCCAAATTCAAGAACAACTCAGAGGGCACGCCCACAAATGACCACCTCACCCTCTCCCTCCTCCCCTTCTTCTTCTTCGTCGCACGTCACGTGGACGCGCCCGCAGGCGCGTCGGACGGGGGCTGGTCGAGCGGCGGCTCGGACCGCCCCACCCGCCGAATGTATTCAACTATCTTGCCGGCCGGCCCGGAGAGGACCTCGTCGAGGGATGGCAGGGGTCCCCCCCAGAGCCGGCGTCTCGTGGTGGCGAATGCTGGGCACTCGGTGAGGAGGTGGCGAACGGTGTCCTCGGCACCGCACTCCCGGCAGAGAGGGTCCGGGGTGAGCTCCAGACGGTGGAGCGTCGCTCGTGCCAGGGGGCAGTAGCCGGTCCGCAGCTGCGACACGGTCACTTGCCCCCAGCGCGGGAGGTCTTGGAGTCCAGGCGTGGGCTGGGGGTGCGGGTGCCGGTGTGCACGCGTGGCCTGCATTTCCCTGGCGCGCTGCCGTATGGCGGTTCGGGCGCTGGCCAGA